TATATATCAAGGAAGCCAGCTTGGGCTACATAAGTCCTGTCTTAAATAATACAAAGGTCCAAAGAGCAGAAAGTAAAACAAGTTGGGAGTGAACACCCCAAGTCTTTGGAGCAATATAGCGGACCCCTGGATCTGAGGACGGGCACACAAGGTCTCACCAGGCTGCGGTCTGACCAGATGGCATCCACCACACCTTCCACAGCCGAGTCCACATCTGCTGAGTCCAGCAGCAGCAACAGGGACTCTGTGCCAAGGGCCAGGCCCAGCTGGGGCCCTTTGCCTGCTAGGCTCCGTCGCAGAGCGCGTCCTTCCTGAGGGAGGCCCACGGGTTTCAGCTGCAGCAGGAGCCTCCTGGCCCTCTGCCATGCCCAGCCCACTCCCAGCCCTTTAGATACCTCCACAGCTCCGCAGAAGGCCACCTTCTGGACTCCAGGTTGGGAGGCCAGAACAGACCCTAGCGAGGCAGGGCCACATACCACATTGAGGATCCCTGGGAAAGAGTTGAGCTCCCCTGCCAGCTGAGCCAGGAGGAGAGGCGTTGGGAAGGCTGGGGGCACAAGGACCACCACAGTGCAGCCTGGGGAAGGGGAACAACTGAGGAGTCCTGCAGTCCAGTCTCTGGCTCTTTCTTCTCGCAGTCAGGGTCCAGGTGTCAGCCCTCCTCCCTCAGACCCCAAACATCCTCCCTGAGAAAAGGGGATGGGGAGGACACAGCCCTCACCTACCCACAGCCAGAGCAGGGCAGACTCTCCACATCATGTCCAGGAAAGAGAAAGAAGTTGGCAGGATGAAGCCAACGACTCCCATAGGTTCCCAGCCTGCCAGTGCCTTCTCCTGGGCATGGGCCTGGACGGCATGGTACTGGAGCAGTTGCTGGGCCAGTGGGACATCTCCATCGCGAACTTCTCGAACAGCCCGCCCAGTGACCAGGGACTCCAGAGTCCACAGCAGCTGCTGGTGCTTCTGGATAATCTTGGCCAACCTTTGGAAAACATAAGGAGTTGGTTCTTGCCTGGACTATAATTCCCACAAGCCTCTGGGGCAGAGCCATAAGTTATCAGAGACAGCAGGTACCAAAGCTGTATAGGAAATGTAATATACGGGAGCCTCAAAACTCTGGGGGGTACACCATAGAATGGTCCTGGTCCCCAATTACCAACCAGTCGCAAAGATACTAGGAACTTGAACCGGAGTCTCTGATCCAACTGCATTATGGGAAACGGGATCTTCATAGCTGTCCCTAAAGTGTGATGGGGAGCAGGGAGCTTGGATTCTGATGGAGTGCTGAGAAACCGAACCCCCACGATAGGACACTGAACTGTGGGAAACAACGGCTATCCTGGCCACTAGAGCCCCACATGCATGCGGGAAACATGAGCCATTAAAGCAAAAGGTTCTTTGGAAATGGAGTCCCTGTGACTCCCGAGGGACGAGGCCTGGCCGGGCTTCCTCACTGGGTCAGGTGTTGGGCTCGAGCAGCTCCAGGCAGTTGGCTCCAGGTCTGAAAGGCTGTCCTTGCTGCATCCACAGCTGCAGCGATGTCCTCAGCCTGCGCTGGCAGGCAGCTGGCCAGGGTTTCTCCTGCGAATCGAGTGGGGGACGGATTGGGAAGCCCGTGGTGACCAGGGAGGCAGAGAGTCAGCCCTTCCTTCTTCAGCCACTCCCTGGTCACCGCTCACCACGTCCCAGAGGCCAGGAACCAACTTCCTTTTCCTTCTTCCCTTTTCATTGGAGTTTTAAACTTTTATTTATTCATTTGGATTTATTATGTGTATGAGTGCTTTGCCTGCATGTGTGTATGCACATAATACACGCAGTGCCCATAGGGGTCAGGTGTCAGATCCTCTGGAGCCAGAGTTATTGGTGGACTGGTGGTTGTGAGTCACCATGAAGATGCTGAGAAATGAACCCAGGTCCTTTGACAGAAGCAGTCAAGTGTTCTTTTTTTTTTTTTTTTTTTTTTTTTGGTTTTTCGAGACAGGGTTTCTCTGTGGCTTTGGAGCCTGTCCTGGAACTAGCTCTGTAGACCAGGCTGGTCTGGAACTCACAGAGATCCACCTGCCTCTGCCTCCCGAGTGCTGGGATTAAAGGCGTGTGCCACCATCGCCCGGCCTCAGTCAAGTGTTCTTAACCACTCGCTAGTCCCTCTCTTACTATGTCTTTTAAATTTATTATTTATTTTGTTTTTTTTTTTGAGACAGGGTTTCTTTGTGTAGCATCGGCTGTCTTGGAACTCACTGTGTAGATAAGGCTGGCTTTGAACTCAGAGATCTGCCTACCTCTGTATCTGGAGTATTAGGATTAAAGGTATGTGTTAGTTCTTACCACTCAGTCCTTTAAGTCTATTTTTAATTATGTGCATATATGTGTGTCTGTGTGGTACGAGCACTGGAGTGCAGGTCCTCCTAGAGACCAGAAGATGGCATAGGATCGCCTGGAGCTGGAGTTGCAGGTGGTTGTGAGCTACCTGATGTGACCCTGGGTCTTCTGAAAGATCATTAACACTTAACCACAGAGCCGTCTTTCTTCTTCTTCTTTTTTTTAAGTGGCTCACTATGGAGCCAAGGCTGGTCTGGAACTCACTCTATAGTTCAGACTGGCTTTAAACCCATGGTCTTCCTGCTTTAGCTTCTGGGGTTGCCCAAGCTAGAGGTATGAGCCACCACACTTTGCTTGAGGAAGGAAATTTAACAGAGAGGGGCTTTGAAGAGCTTTCTGGGGTGCACTAGGAACTGTAATTAGTGAGGCTGTCACTAGGAGAGATGAGAACCCTCATCCCACGACCACCATCAATGGCGGCTCTTGCTCTCGGGAGCCTGAGTACAGGTCGCTGGGTATGTATATGGCTGCAGCTCTGAGAGAGGCCTTTGTCCTTCCCGAATGACTGGGGTCATCAAAAACCTGTGATAGGATCCTGGCAAGGGACTGGATTCCTGTGTTCTGGCTTCAGCCACGTTCCATTGATATAGTGGCCCAAGAGGCGGTTGTGAGTATCCAGCCAGGCCTGGAGGAAGACAAGAGTTTGGAGAAGGGCCTGAGGCAGCTGGGGCAGCTCAGTACTTAGCCAGAGTCTCCTTGAGGAGACACTTGTACTCTTGCCCTCAGCTGATGCTTTTCCTTCTGGTTTTTGTTTGCTTTATGTTGGTGATTGAACTCAGGGTTCGCTATCAAATTATACTTCCAGCCCATTATTATTATTATTATTTCTACTATGATTAAAACATCTGAAACTCATGTTAGCCAATACTCAGCTATACTCTATACAGCCCCAGTACTCAGGCCAGTCTGGGCTACATAGCAAGATCTTGGACTCTTTTTTTTTTTTTTCTGTTTCTCTTTCTTTTTTAGACAGGGTAGTCTAAACTCACTGGTGCCATGAATGAACTCCTGAACCTCCTGTCTCCTTCTCCTGTGTGCACTACTACACCTGGTTTAAATAGAAAATGTTCAAAGAAAAATAATTAATAAAACATTTCCTTCCATAGAGAAATGACCAAGTTTGGAAGCACACAGTAGTGTTTGTTTGGTGCTTGGTGCTGGGATGGAACCAGGACCTTGAGCATATTAGGCCAGGGCTCTACTGCTCAACTTAATTCAGCTCTGTCAACTTCACACTGGTCCAGGACACTTGGTGTGCTGGACACCGTGTCCCCAGCCAGCATTCTGCAATATCACCCGTGTTTCTCTGTCTTGTGGGGCTGCTAAGCTAGCCAAGTACATCCACTCCTGCAACCCTGCTCCTCTGCATCCCAGCCACCACCACTGGGAGAACAGCGAGGACTCAACAGGCTTAATGCCACGCAGCCCTGTGCAGGTGACCAGGCTGTGGAGTCTGTGCCTGAGGCTTGACGAGTACTTGCTGCACAGGCCTGGCCTGGCTTTCAGTCACAGCTCTGGTACTTAGCTACCATGTAACTGTTATTATTTTGTGTGTGTGCACACTGTATGTGAAGGCCAAAGTCTGATGTTGGGTGTCTTCCTCAATTGCTGCTTATCTTGTTTTTTAAAAGACTCATTATTGATTCATTTTTATATGTATGAGTGTTTTTCATGCACGTATGTGAGTGCATTACACATATGAAGTGCCCACAGAGGTCAGAATACAGAGGCAGTCAGTGTCCCTGGAACTGGAGTTACAGATGGTTATGAATTGCCATGTGCCTGGGTCCCTTACAGGAGCAGCAAGTTCTCTTGACTGCTGAACTGAACCATCCGTCCAGCCCCTCTGTCTTTTGTCAGAGAGGGTCTCTCACTGAACCTGAAGCTCAGTTTCAATTAGCAATTAGCGGGCCAGCAGGCCCGAGGATCTTCTTGCCCCAGCCTCTTTCACAATGAAATTACATGTGTCTTTCTGTACTGCTTTTTACATTTTGTTTGAGACAAGGTCTCCCTCTGTAGCTCTGGCTGGCCTAGAACTCACTCTGTAGACCAGGCTGGTCTTGAACTCAGAAGCAATCCATCTGTCTCTGCCTCCCGAGTGCTGCGGTTAAAGCTGTGCACCATGTCTGGGTGGATTTTGACTTGTGTGCATGGGATCTGAATGCAGGTCCTCACTCTTGTGCAACAAGCACTCTGCTAACTGAGCCATCTCTCCAGTCCTCTAACATATAACCTTAGCCAGAGGCTTATTTATTTATTATTATTAGCTATTATTTTTTTGAGACGGGGTTTCTGTGTCGCCCTAACTGTCCTGGAACTTGCATTGTAGACCAGGCTGGCCTCTAATTCAGATATCTGCCTGCCTGCCTCCCAAGTGCTGGGTCAAAAGTGTTCACCACTACCAGGCTTAGCCAGGGTTTTCTAACACTCTGCCCCTGCTAAAACATCCCCAAGCCTGCTGACAAGGGAATCACCCAACAGCACCTCTTCAGTTACTTCTGTGTCCTTTACTGTGCCTTACTCTCTACGCAGGCTTCATGCTGCTTCCTCTTCCTGCTTACATTTCTGAGGTTATTAAATCCAACATCTACTTCCCACTTTTTGTTTCTTTTGCCTTATCTTGACAATCGGGTTTGTCATTTTTACTTTTTTTTTTTTTAAGCAAAATGGGCTTGGTGTGGCAGCATAGGGCTATAACTTGGACAGTGAAGCAGGAGGATCACCATGATTTAAAGGCCAGAGTCCCAGGACAGCCAGGGAGGACTAAAAAGCAAAACAAGAACAAAAATAAACAAATAAAAATCTTTTAAAAAGGAAAACTGTCACCCAAAAGTCCTAAATTGAAGTGTGCATGGCCCTTTGGAAGTGGGGCAAGGGCACGTGAGCTGTGCATTAAGTATACTGGACGACAGTTGATGCTATGGGACTGAATAACAGGGCTGCTGTGCAGCAAAGCCTTATCTGTTAGGAATAAAGGCTGGAATATTTATGGGAAAGCAGCACCACAGCTGGCATTTGTTTAGACCACTCTGGAGAAAAGAGAAAAAGCAGAAGGGAGCACTGGCCGGGCTGCTGACTGCTGAAGTTGTGATGAGTACACGGGAGTTCCTAACAGTGACTGCCATGTGAAAGATGGAAAACTTCCTTCAAAGGGAAAAACAAATCCCACAAGAATGTCCACAGGGTTCTGGCAGGCCACAGGAGAGGGAGACGAGCGTCTGTTGGACACGGAGAACTGAAAATGTCTCCAAAGAAGCCAAGACAATTGGGTCCAGATGAGTTTTGTCAGGGAACTAGAGCCAAAAAGTTGCCAAACTTTGGAATTTTATTTTGGAGAGAAATTAGAATCCAGGATGTTTAGATGGAATTAATTGTACAATAATTGACATTTCCAAAAACAAAGCTCAAGCCAAGGAAAACATGTTTGCTTGGTTGAGTTGCTCAGATTGTAAACTTGAGACTTTTGTTAGAGTAAATGGGGAGGGCGGGAGGGGGATGGAGACAGGAGGAGATAGGCCAGACAGACACACATGGACCAGAACGCGAAGTGATGGGTTCAGAATCCAAAGCATGGTGACGGGACCAGCTCTTTCTCTCATTTTTTGAGACTGTTTTGGAACTCATAATTCTCCTGCCTTGCCTTCCAAATGCTGGGGTTACTGGTGTGTCCCACTATGTCAAAACTCCTTCAAGCTGTGTGGACTATGGGCAAAATGACTCAGCTCATCAGCCCTGGGTTCTGTCACTAAAATAACAAGAATAATCCCCTCTCCGTTGTTCTGCAGATTAAGTGAACTCATGCTTAGCACAGAGGTTGGCACAATTCATCTATCCATCCATCTCTGCCTTCGACCTACTACTGCTATTCCGGGCATTGTACCACTAAGTAGCCTCCATCTGCGGCTATCCTCTGCATTGTGCCCAACCTCTCACCAGCATCTGTATTTCTAGTTACTCCTAGCACAGTATCTTTTTACGCTGGCATTTCTCTGGTTGGTATCTCCACTACAATTGTTTGTGGAGAAGCCCAAAGGTCAAGCAACACTAGACTCCACCTCACGACAGTCAGTCTCCATACCACCAGAGCCCAGTGTCTGTCCTGTGCTGGACTCCATGCAGGGACAGCTGACCAGCCTCCAGGCAGCTATCAGAGTTAGACCCTGCCCTCTTAACCAGCACCTGGTGTCACCTCCCTGCACCTCTTCATGAAGCAGCCTGCTTCCATCTTAGGCTTGACACCATCTTATAGTAAAGACACAGTAGGTTGGCTCATTCATTCCTATTTTCGACTAAACCTGTTTCTCAGGGATTGGACTATGCCCAACCTGGAACCTTAAATTAACTACAAATAGTTCTGTGCTGCCTGCTACAGGAAACGGCAACCATGCCTTTGTTTCAAAAAGTGTTGTAGCCATCTTACAAGACTATCTTTGTTTCAAGAGGTTAGGGCTACCTTGTTACAGTCCTGTCTGTTTCAGGAAGCTCATTCTAACTTGCTGAGTTTATGTTCTGCTCCTGAAACCGCAAAGACTATTTTGCCTTCCGAATTCATTTGGAAACCTAAAATAAAAACCCTATCGTCCTCACATCCAAGGCTGACCTCTTGAACCCCGCCTTAGGGTAGAAATAAAAAAGCTTGCTTTAATTAATTTTGCCATGATGATTTAGGTCGGTGGTCTTTCTCCTCTAATCTTTGGGATTAACACTCTTAAATTTGAGTGTTATAATGCTGTCCTTCCGAAGCTGGAGCCCATCTGGTAGTGAGGGTTATCTCTCCAATCCCCTTAGTGGGACCAGGAGCAAAAAAATCCCAGGCACCCTACTAAATTCCACCAGGAAGCCAAGTGGGTTCTGGAAGACCCTGACGGCTTACAAGAGGCCTAAGAAGCCAGGATCATGAGGCTCTTAAGGATTAATTATGAACATGAAAATCTCTAAAAGAAACCCACTAAATTGAAGGGTTCAAATGGTCCCTGAGGATCATGGGAACTCATAGGGGTTGGGGGTCCACAGGAAGTTCTGACCAACTTGGGGTTCTGAGCGTTCCCGTGAGTCTCCGAGGAACCACCCCTCCCTGACGGGTGCTGAGGAAACGCTACGGCGGCGTGCGGCACGCGAGCCCGTCCACGAGACTCGCGGCGGGAATCACGCGAGCTGGGGGGGGCGGAGCTTCCGAGAATGCCGCAGTGGACGACGGGAACCAGGGCACCAAATGGAGCCCATAAGCCTGAGCTAGGGAGTAGACAGCCGCCGCCAGGCAAGCTCTCACCAGTGCGCATGCGTGGCTCTCCGGCACCGGTCCGTACTCCAGTGTCGTGAAAATCTCGCGGGCGCAGGGTCGGACACGCGTGGCCGCCATCGCTCGCCGAACGCCTTCCGCGGAGGACTGCCTGAGGAAGAACCTTGGGAACGTGGAGGTCCGAAGGGCGGCACCGCTCACTCCAGTCAAAGGGGCGGGGCCCACAGGCTAGGGCGGGACGCGAGGTCGAGGGCGCATCCCTCCTCCTTTAGAGCCACACCATGGCTCCGTGGGCGGACGCTGGGAAATGTAGTTTCCTGGATAACAGCAACGGGGCGGGGCGGGTCTCCGCATTAACAGAAGCTTTGAGAGGACAGCATATTGTCTTTTTGTTTTGTTTTGTTTTTCGAGACAGGGTTTCTCTGTGTTTGTTTGTTTATTTATTTATTTATTTATTTATTTATTTGTTTATTTATTATGTATACGATATTCTGTTTGTGTGTATGCCTGCAGGCCAGAAGAGGGCACCAGACCTCATTACAGATGGTTGTGAGCCACCATGTGGTTGCTGGGAATTGAACTCAGGACCTTTGGAAGAGCAGCCATCTCTCCAGCCCCCTCTCTCTGTGGTTTTTGAAGCCCGTCCTGAAACTAGCTCTTGTAGACCAGGCTGGTCTCGAACTCACAGAGATCCGCCTGCCTCTGCCTCCCGAGTGCTGGGATTAAAGGCGTGCGCCACCACCACCCGGCTAGCATATTGTCATTTTGACTCTTTAGAAAAATAAATTGGCCTGACGGTGGTGGCGCTCACCTTTAATCCCAGGACTCGGGAGGCAGAGGCAGGTGAAACTCTGTGAGTTCCAGGACAGGCTCCAAAACTACAGAGAAACCCTGTCTCGAAAAACCAAGAAAAAGAGAAAAAGGGAAAACTTGTTTTGTTTTGTTTGGACAGCGTCTCACCACATAGCTCTGGCTGTCCTGGAATTCACTCTGTAGAACAGGCTGCTTTAAACTCAAAATGATCTGCCTAGCTCTGCCACCTGAGTGCTGGGATTAACGTCAGGCGCCAACAAACCTGGCAGAAAAAAAAAATGTTCTTTTTTTTTTTTAGATTTTTCGAGACAGGGTTTCTCTGTAGCTTTGGAGCCTGTCCTGGCACTAGCTCTTGTAGACCAGGCTGGCCTAGAACTCACAGAGATCCGCCTGCCTCTGCCTCCCGAGTGCTGGGATTAAAGGCGTGCGCCACCACCGCCCGGCAAAAAACGTTCTTGATGTATTCCCACCTTAAAAAAATAATTGGAGGTGGGGGTGGAAAGAAATAACTGGAGGCAGATAGTGCAGCTTTTAGTCCACTAGGGAACAAGAGCTGGCACTGGGTCTCAGGGATAGTTGAAAAGCAATTTTTTTGTTTGTTTTTAGAGAAGGTTTCTCTGTGTAGCCCTAGGGACAGGAGTCACTGGGCGGTGGCAGCGCAGGCCTTTGATCCAGCACTTGGGAGATACAGACTGGCGGATTCCAGGGTTCAAGGCCAGTCTAGTCTGTAGAGCGAGTTCCAGGACAGCCAGGGCTGCACAGCCAACCCTGTCTTGAAAACCCAAAAAGAAATAGAAAGAAAGGATCAGAGCATAAGACCAAGTTCTCAACACAAAGGAGATTTATTTGCCCGAGAGGGACAGTGACAGGGGGATAGGAGGCCATGGCTGGGGTAAGGATATTGGCCCTGGAGGAACAAAGGGCTGCCTCTGGATAAAGTGGAGGCAGACGTGGCACATGGGCAAATGGCAGTTTATAAAGGGAAAGGGGAAGCCCCGTGTTAGGGTGAGGTGTTTAATTTTAATTGGCCATGTTAATTAGGGTAGCCAAAGGGGACTGGGAACTTGTGATTGCTGGACTTCAGTACTTTGACTACTAGGCCTTGTCGGTCAGCCTCAGGAGTAGGAAGTGGCCAAACAAGGGACTAGACCTTGGTGGCTAGTTTTAGGGGTGTAATCTATGGTTTAGCAAGGGAGAAGGAACGAGGAAGGGCACGGGCAGCAGAGCCGTGCCTGCCATGCTCTGGCCTTCTAGAGCCCTTTCAGTCCTAGAATTTGCTCTGTAGACCAGGCTGGCCTCGAACTTAGAGCACCGCTTCCTTCTGCCTCCCAAGTGCTGGGATTAAAGGTGTACACCACCACCACTCAGCTAATCTTTCTTTTACTGGTATAGGTGTTTCTCTGCATGTATGTCTGTGCACCACGTGGGTACAGTGCCTGTGGAGGCCAGAAGAGAGCCGTGGAGCCACTGGGGCCGGAGTTACAGGCAGTTGTGAACCACCAAGTGGGTGTTAGGAGCTGAACCTGTCCTTTCTGAAAGCAACGTGTTCTTAACCACTGAGTCATCTCTCCAGCACTAATATTTTATTCTTTTTAAAGTAAGCAAAGATTTGCTTTTGTTTGGCGTGCATGGGTATTTTGCCTGCCCGCAGGTCTTGTGCATCACATGCATGGAGTACCCCCGGGAGGCCGGAAGAGGGCGTTGGATCCCCTAGACCTGGAGTCACCATGTGGGTGCTGGGAATCAAACTCTGGTCTTTTCGAAGACCAGTAGGCTCTCAAAAACTGAATCATCTCTCCAGCTTCTCCTCCCCATGTTTTTTTTTTTTTTTTTATAAACAAAAATCTTCATTTTGCTCAAAAAAGATAGTTAATAGTATTGAAATTAAGGGTGTGTGTGTTGGGTGGGATCGGACCCAGAGCCTAACGCACGATAGACAAGAGCCACATACAGAGATACTAATTTTTCAGAGTGACAGTCCTTTCTGCACTGAACCGCCCGCAGTTGTTAGCGAAGGGCAGAAATGTAGGTTTTGATTCAGGAAGTACGTCGTTTCACGAGCCGCCTCAGGTCTTACTTTTGATTGGCTGGTTAGGGGGCGTGACTTCAGCTTTCTAATACAAATGGTCAGCGGAGGGTGGGGTGGGGGAGCTGCTTGAAAGAGCGGGCTTTGAGTCGTCGGAAGTGTGGCTACTTCAATTCCTTGGTTACAGAGGCCGGAAGTGTGCCTTTCATTTACGCATCGGCCAAACAGGACCGATCAAGAGACCCAACACGCTTGAGGAGACAGTGCCTTCTTCGCACGGAACTATAGACCATTACCAACACAGAGCTTAGAGTTCTGGGAGGAGTGCGGTGTGTTAGAATCGACCGAGGTCCTTCGTTTGTCCGGGAAAAATTTTCCACGTTTTGAACCCCTAGGACTTTTTTCCAGGGCCATGGCGGAGTCGAAGCTTCCGGCACCAGACCTAAGCGATGCAGAGTCGATGGGTGATGAGACCCTGCGGTTTCAGGAGCTGCTACTGCAGGTGCGGCCTGACTGGACTTTTGGGAATCTGGGTATTTAAATATTTATACATTGGCGCTTAGAGATGCTGCTTCAGCTCCCAGAATGCCGTGCGGTAGCAAGGAGGCCTATGGGAATCGTAGTTGTTTAGCTTAAAGTTTACTAGATTTTAAAAGAAATGGAGTTGGGGTGATCTTGGGAGTCCTGTAAAAATAAAAGGGAGCCTAGACTGTATAATATAACAAGTGAGCCGGGTGGTGGTGCCGCACGCCTTTAATCCTTGCACTGGGGATACACAGGCAGGCAGATATCTGAGTTTGAGAACAGCCTGGTCTACAGAGTGAGTTCCAAACAACCAGGGCTACACAGAGAAACCCTGATTCAAAAAACAAAAAAAAATATATAATATTAGTAAAAAACCTGTGCTCCCCAGCCATCACAGACAAGATGTCCTATAAACATTTGGGAAGCACATGAGGGTTTTGACAGGACAGAAGCATCATGGAGGGTTGTTTTTTCCCCCTCACAGGCTTCCAAAGAGCTCCGGCAAGCCCAGACGGAAAGGTCAGAATCTACACAGATCCGGCCCCAGCCTGGTGAGAAATAGATATAGATATATAGAAACATATGTGAATGTTTATATACTTATATTTGTATATACACGTATGTATGTGTGTGTGTCTGTGTGTGTACACATAGAGAGATTTAGAGTATCCCAGAGCAAGGATGGGAGACCCTGAGAGAGGTCATTAGAAACTAGGAGCAGGGGACACAGAATGAAGTAGAGAGATCATAACTGCATACAAAGGCCTAGAAGTAGTTAGGTGGATGCACAGGTAGGAAGATCAGAAATACTGGACCATAGAGAGCAGAGCGGGAAGTGGGATGAAGAAAGAAAGTAAGAAAATGTCAGGGGCCTGAGGGAGGTAGAAGGGAACAGAGGCCAGAGCCAGAGAGTGAGAGGAGCCAGCAAGAGGGCTGAGCAAGGAAAGAGCCTAGCACTAGGCCTGGTGACTCCTGAATGTTGTTCTCTGACCATCACACACAACAGCTATGGCATGAATGCACATGCGTGCACACACCCACCCACATATACACACAAAGTAAGTGCATGTAATAAAAATTGAAATGGAGAAGGAACTGGGTGTGGTGGTGAGGGCCTGTAATCTCAGGAGGCAGGAGTATCCCAAGTCTGGGCCAGCCTTGGTACAGAGTGAGAGACCTTGTCTCAAAAAAGGGAGAGGGTGGGTGTGGGGTGAGAATGAGACTGCCTAGGGACAGATGGACAGATAAACCCACTTGTGCAGGTTTCTGCATAAAGACCAACTCATCGGAAGGGAAGGTTTTCATCAACATCTGCCACTCTCCCTCCATCCCTCCCCCGGTGGACGTGACTGAGGACCAACTGCTTCAGATGCTGGAGGAGGACCAAGCTGGCTTCCGAATCCCCATGAGCCTGGGAGAGCCACATGCTGAGCTGGATGCAAGTCAGTACCCTCAGAAGACACCAAGTCTCTTCCCTCAAGATCCTGTGATTCTCAGGTGCTTCCTTCCAGTCAGGGTTGGGAGCCAGAGCGGATTGACCCAGGCCTTCAGGGAACATGCCCTGGGGCTCTTCACTGAGTTGAGGCTTCAGAGAAGGTTGCCTGGAACAGTAGTAGTCTGATAGAAGATTTGAAGAGTTAACTGGGCAGTGGTGATGCATGCCTTTATCCCAGCACTAGGTAGCACAGGCAAGCAGATCTCTGTGAGTTTGCGGTCAGCCTGGTCTACAGAGCGAGTTCCAGGACAGCCAGGGCAGACAGAGAAACCTGTCTCAGGAAATATTTGAAGAGGGTTTTAAGCAGAGATGACTAGTGAGCTGGGCATGGTGGCTCACTCTTACAGTATTAGCTCTTAGGATGCTGAGGCAGGAGAATTGCTGAAAGCTAGAGGCCACGCTGAGCTACGTGGGAAATTGACAGGGGCCATGTCTGGGGGATACAGTGACTAGACTGACATCAGTGAGGAGAGACTGTAAGTGTGGACAGTCAGGGTTCTCTAGAGCAGACATGAGCTTTTTCCTAGAGGTGGGCAGGATAGAGGGAGGTGGTTCTTGGGGCCACTGGAGAGGATCAGGGTCTGTCTTGGGGATATGGGCATCAACCTGGAGTTGAGCCTGGAAGCCAAGAAGGACCTGGTCAGAGTTGCCTGGGGAGTGTGTGCTGGTCTCACTTCCCGTGTCTTGGGTCTGGTCCTTGGGTAAGTTCTCATTATGGGTGTTACACGGAGGGTTACAGGGCCCTTGTTCCTTCTTTCTTTCCACAGAAGGCCAGGGCTGTACTGCCTACGATGTTGCCGTCAACAGCAACTTCTACCTGAGGATGCAGGTGGGGTGTATGTAATGGACAAAGCCCGGGGAGGGTGCTTCCCCCAACCCCGTCCCCACCATCCTGTCTCTTGTTTGTCTCACCTTAGAACAGCGATTTCTTGCGGGAGCTGGTGGTCACCATTGCCAGGGAGGGGCTTGAGGACAAGTATGGTTTACAGCTAAATCCAGGTAAGGGGGGGGGGGAGTGGTAACGGCCTGGATGGCACACTGGGAGAGGTGAGTCCAGTGTGTCAGCGATATCCTCCACCAGCTCTCAGCAGGGGGTGGAGCTTCTCGAGTGAAGGTGGGGCTGAGAAGGGGCGGGGTCAGGAGTCTGCTGGGGGTTGGGTGGTGCTAATGTGGGTAGGACCTCCTAAAGTCAAGATTGCCAGGTCAGAGCAGAAAGTGTCTGGGAAGGTGGCCTAGCCTCTGTGGACTGGGAGGCACCATCTGAGGGAACCCCACTTCAGCAACCTCCCCCTCTGCAACTCTCAGAATGGCGCATGCTGAAGTATCGGCCTTTCCTGGGCTCCATCTCGCAGCAGAACATTCGCTCCCAGCAACGCCCTCAGATCCAGGAGCTGGGGACCCTTGAGGGGTGAGCCTTCATGATTCCTGGGATGATGACCAACCATCCTGGGTCTTTTGGGACGCAAGGATGGAACTGAGACTCAGAGTTGGATGGAGGGAGGAAGGGACAGGAAGCCAAGTAGAGGGTACAGGGCTGTCAGGCCAGGTGGTCACCCTCAGTCTGCCATTGTTCCCATATAGCCCAGAACGGCCTCACCTGAACCTTTGGTTGGAAGCCCCTGATCTCCTCTTGGCTGAAGTTGACCTCCCAAAGTTGGTGAGTGCCGGCTTTTTAGTCAGAGAAAAGAACTAGAGTCTGGACACCCTGGGACTGGGTCAGGACATCGAGGAGCCAAAGTCCTGGGTCTGAGGGAGGAGGCTGGGCCTGGACTCCTGGGTCTGAGGAGGGAGGCTGGGGCTTGGACTCCTGGGTCTGAGGGAGGAAGCTGGGCCTGGACTCCAGGGTCTGAGAGAGGAGGCTGGGCCTGGACTCCTGGGTCTGAGGGAGGAGGCTGGGCCTGGACTCCTGGGTTTGGGTTAGGTCTCTGGAGGCAGTGATGTGGGGCTGTCCCCAGACCCAGAAAACCAGCAGGTGCAGCCACTGCTCTCCGAGTCTGAGTTCCTTGAGACTTAGAGTTACTGTCCTTTGATTTTGTTTGCATTGTTTTGGTTCTGAGGATTGAAACCACAACCATGCATGGTACGACCTTGTAGCCATAGTTTCCCAGTGCTGGGGCTGTGGGCTGACCTTACCTCATCCCCAGGACGGAGCTCAAGGGCTGACCTTGGAGATTGGAGAGAGTCACCTGGTGATGGGAGGCTCCCAGCAACTGTACCGCCTCAATGCCTCCATTCCCCTGCGGATCAACCCTGAGGCAAGCAGGGCTGCTTTCCACCACCGGAGAAAGGTACCTGGCGGGACTTGAGGAAGCTGGAGCCATGCATCTGTCGGAGGAGGCTGGGTCCTGAACCCTCGTTCTCTTCCCTTTCTCAGCAGCTGATGGTGTTCTTGCCCCTCCTGTCAGTGTCTTGACCAGAATCTCCTTGTATCTTCAGAGGTGGCGAACATGTTGGTGTCTTCTCTAAATGTGAAGTAAACAGTCTTTCCAGTTCTTTCCAGCTTCAGAAATGAAGACATGGCGGGTGGAAGGGAAGAGGGCTATCAGCTCTGACCCTGGTGTCCCCTAGACGTCCCTGGCCTTCTGGACTCCTTTCTTCATCTCCCCTGGGTCCCAGAGCTGACCCTACACCTGTGCTCCCACTTCATGGTCCCAGAGCATCCAGGCTCAGCTCTGACCCCTTCCTTCCTAGACCGTGACTTCCTACAGACACCCAGCAACCTCACAGAACAGTGTCCCACATCACTGACTCTTGCTTCTCCTCATTCTAGTGCCCCCTTCTCTAGAATGGCCTTCCTCGTGCAGTGGGTGCTCTCTTGTGATGGGGGTTACACTACCTGATCTCTTAGCAACCAAACTCAAGCAGCGTTTCTGGATCTCCTGCCTCTACTCCATGAACTCTGTCCATGCCTGGGGTCCAGCTTCCTATCACAAACACACCCAAGTCTACCCCCCCCCCACTTCCTGCTGACTCAGCTGCACTTCCTCCTGGTGCAGCCTGCTAGTCTGGCCTTTGGGACACTCCTACTCTACTTCCCAATATTCCTTCCCCTTGTCAGTGCTGCTGTAACCCAAGGCCTCTAATGCCAAGCATGTGCAAGGGAGTCAGTGGTGACGCATGCCTCGCCTTTAATCCCAGTGCTCAGGAGACAGAGACGGGTGGATCTCCAAGTTCGAGGCCAGCCTGGTCTACAAAGCTAGTTCCCGGGCTACACAGAGAAACACTGGAAAAACATGCAATGCCAGGCATACATCTGCAGCACCATTGAGTTACACCCTTTCTCTCTCTCTCTCTCTCTCTCTCTCTCTCTCTCTCTCTCTCTCTCTCTCTCTCTCTCTCTCTCTCTCTCTCTCTCTCTCTCTCTCTCTCTTTCGATTTTCGAGACAGGGTTTCTCTGTAGTTATTGATGTCTGCCCTAGAACTAGCCCTTGCTGCTGAGCCTGAGGACTGGAGATCCTTTTCAGTGCCCCACGTGGTAGAGGAAACTGACTCCCAAAGGTCGGCCTCTCACCTCTACAAGGCGCACTGTGGCGTCCCAGCCTGAGCGTACACACACACACACACACACACTTCAGATTTATTTATGTGTATGAGTGGTTTACCTGCATGCACACTGTTTTACCTGCAGAATTCAAAAGAGGGCGCCAGATCCTCTGGTCATGAGCCATGGTAAGGGTGATGGGAATTGAACCCCAGCCCTCTGCAAGAGCAACAATGCTCTTAACTACGGAGTCATCGCTCCAGCCCCAAACGTAGTTTTTAGCTTTTGTTTTTTTGTTTGGTTTTTCAAAACAGGTTTTCTCTGTGTGGCCCTGTTTGTCTGGGAACTCGCACTGTAGACAAGGCTGGCCTTGAACTCAGAGATTCCGGGCAGTGGGGCACAGGTTTTTTTAATCCCAGCCCTCAGGAGACAGAGGGGGAGGGGGATCTCTGAGTTCAATGTCAGATGCTCCACAGAGTGAGTTCCAAGACAGACAGGGCCACACAGAAAACCCTGTAATATAGAAAACTACAACAAAACCAAAAACAAGGCCATACCGTTGCTGAGAAAAGCTGGTAAAGTCCGAAGGGTGTCTGTCCTGTAGCCAAGCTTGGTGGGTATGCCTTCAGTAACATGCTCTGGAGACTGAGGCAGGAGGATGACAAATTCCACGCTAGTCTGTCCAACAGCGACATCGATCCTGCCCCAGGATGCCGGCAAGCAAACTAGCGAGCCCTACCCACGTGAGGGCGTAAGGAAGCCTTAGCCTCTAAGGCGTCTTAGCTAGGACAGTCACATCTAGAAGCCGTGGGCATAAAGAAACGTGGGGTGGTGGGCGAGCGCGGGGCTGACTCAAGCGCGAAGGTCACCGGGGCCTCTAGTCTAGACTGAGGCCCTCCCTGGGCCACCGAAGGACTAGTTTCTAGGTCCTAGAAAAGTGTGAGGCCGGGCGCGCTCCTCCTTCCTCCGTCGCCATGGTGACGGTGCGGGCGACCGCCCGGGATTTGGCAGCGGCGGGGGCCCCCTTCCCACTCCCTCCTCCTCACCATCTGCTCCTCCCTCACACCTGGCCCGGAGCCGCGGACGCCTCCTCCGCACGCAGTCCGGGACTCCACGGCCGCCAGGTGGCGCGTGCGCGCGGCTCGCCCGCCTCCCTCCTCCCTGAGGACTTGGAGACTCGACCGAGATCGTCCGCGCCCGCCTGCCGCTCGATGGGCTTCTCTCGTCCCCTCCTGGGCCGCATCATGAAAATTTAATCCCAAATGCATTTGTGGCCCGACGCGGGGAGAGAGACGGTGGGGAAACCAGCACCCTGCTGAGGCCTGGAGCTGGAGGCGCACAGGGAAAAGCGTTGGTTTGAGGGCCACCGGAGAGTTAGGGTTCCCCCCACCCCAAGAGTTGGATTGGAATCTACTGGGAAGAGGACTTGGGCAGGAACAGATCCTAGGACACAAGAGGAAGTCACAGCTGGGACAGACTTAAGGGGAGGAGCCAGGCCCCAGAACGCAGAGATAGGGTGTCCACAGGAGAAGGGGGACACATCTGGGGGATGGGGGTAGAACTCAGAGGAAGAAGCTGTGACTCAACCGATGGGGCCCAGAGAGTCATAGAGCCTAGGGATATTCTAAGGGAGTGCGAAGGGAACCACTGGCACCAAGGACAGTGGTGGTGGACCCAGGAGTAGGGAGCAGAATTCTAAAGGATGAAAGAGGAGAGTTGAAAACTCTCTAAGACAAGGATGGAGGTGGATAAACCCCGAGGAAAAGTAGAACTCGAAGGGAATAGTGGAATCGGAAGAGTGTGGGGAAAGCCGATCCAGTGGCACAGGAGGGTCCTAAGTTCAAGGCCAGCCAGCGGACTTGCCTAGCAGACCCACCCCAAAGGAAAGATGGGGCTGGAGAGATAGCGCTGCGGTAATTCCAGAGGCCCTGGGTTCAGTTCCCAGCACCCATATGGCGACTCACAACTCCAGTCCAGGGGATTCAACGCTACTTTTATTTATTTATTTTGGTTTTTCGAGACAGGGGCCTCGAACTCACAGAGATCCGCTTGCCTCTGCCTCCCGAGTGCTGGGATCAAAGGCGTGCGCCACCACTGCCCGGCTTCATTGCTACTTTTAAGTGTGCGCAGCTGCTAGGCATACAAGTAGTGCAGATAGACATGCTGGCCTTCTATATGACATTCTATGCTCACACATAGAATTAAAAATTTTAAAAACAAAAATAAAAAACTTTTTCTTTTGAGATAAAGTTTCTCTGTGTAGCTCTGGCTGTCCTGCAACTCTCTATAGATCAGGGTGGTCTTGAACTCAAGAGATTCACTTGCCTCTGCCTCCCAAGAGCTAGGATAAGAGGTGTGTGCCACCATGCCCAGCCCTAAACGAAATCAATTGCTTTTTCTCTGTGTAACCCTGACTGTCCTGGAACTTGCGCTATAGACCAGGCTGGCCTCGAACTCAGAGATTCACTTTGCTTCTGACTCCGAGTGCTGGGATTAAAGCTGTGTGCCATCATTGCCCAGCTTTTGTTGTTTTGTTTTGTTTTGTTTTTCGAAACAGGGTTTCTTTGTGTAGCTTTGGAGCCTGTCCTGGAACTCACTCTGTAGACCAGGCTGGCCTTGAACTCACAGAGATCCACCAGCCTCTGCCTCCTGAGTGTGCGCCACCACTGCCCGGCTTCCCAGCTGTGTTTGTTTTTTGAGACAGGGTCTCTGCCTCCCCAAATCCCGGGATTAATTAATGGTTTGCATCATCACCTCCCGTCTCATTTTTTTTTTTTAAGAAAAGAAAATGAGAAAGTCAAAGATCAGATGGAGAAATGAGCTCAGCACGGAGATCAGGGAGGGAGGGACCTAGAGAGCGTGGACGTGCGGAGTAATTTGGTAACAGGATTGTAGTGGGGCACTAGGCAATTCAGAGTTCGGTTCCAAGGGCGTGGCCTTGAGATGGCCAGGTAGAGGCTCTGGGACGGGAAAGTTAAAGGAGAGAGAGGGTCTAGCCTGCAAGATAAGGGGCTTAACTGACTGGCCTACAGTCCAGGTATCTGGGTGGGAGGAGAGTAAGGGCCCTGACTGCAAGGGGTGGGGCCTCGTTGGGTGGGCGTGAATGCCCCGCCCCGCCCCGCCCCCCGACGTTCAGTCCGGCTACAGCCCCGGGCAGCTGGCACTCTCAGCCTGGTTTCCCCCCGAGCGGAGCTGCGGGGCCGGGCCGGGCCGGGGCGGACCCCGGGATCCCGGACGCGGCCGCCCGGGCCCGCGGGCGGGGGGATTGGCAGGGCACCCGCGTGGGCACAGCCACCATGGAGTTCCGGCAGGAAGAGTTTCGGAAGCTGGCGGGGCGCGCCCTGGGGAAGCTGCATCGGTGAGCTTGGTGGGGTTCCTGGGAGGGGAATGGTGAGGATACCCCCTTTCCACCCTGGAGCAGACGAACAGAAGGAAAAGAGAGAGGACACCCTGGCATGGTGTGGGGAGGCCCACCCAGCTGTTCAGGATTCCGTCCTGTGGATGCTGTTATCCCATCCTGCCTGGTCCATTATCCCCCCCCCCCCTCCACTTGCACCTCACCCCACCTGGGGCTTGCCTTTTTCTTTGAGATTGTGTATCTTTCCCTATTCTCTGTCCACCGGTCTTCTGTCTTTTTACTTTAGATCTGTCTCTCCTCCCTGGGCTCCTCTTCCCCTCACCTCTGACCAGGAGCCACTCACTGGGTTCAGTCCTGACCCTTCCTCTTGCTCCCCTCGCGCTCTTCCTCTCTGGACCTCTGGTCCCCACTTTGATCTCTGTCTCTCTTGGCATCTCTGACTGTTTCCCTGGACTGCTATCTTCCCACCCTGGCTCTCCCCATCTCTCCTCTTTCTCAGGTTCTGTCCCTAGAGGCTTTTAATCTGGAGCTAAAGCGGATTGGGGCTGTTGGTTCTTGTCCTTGAGGGGGGTTAAGCTGAGAGGAAAAATCTGGGGTATCCCAGGTTCTGGGGGGTGAGGGAGTTTCAGGCCACAAAAACCAAATTAATCTTG